TACAATTCCTGAATATTTTTTGTTATTATACAAGTCTTAAATAATTGCAAATATTTTTAGTATAAGGTTTTTTTGTGATGTTCTTTTTTGAAAATTGATTCTTCTTTTACAAGAAAGAAAATCCAGAAAAGATTCAGTGGTTCTCAAAATTTAAGCAAAATATTTTTTTTTAAATATTCAAAGTAAAATAACTCGATTATTTTGGACTTATTTGGAAAACGGTAAAGAGAAAACATGTTTCTTTTATCAAGATTTAATAACCCTGAAAATATTTGCACTTATTTAAGATTCACCCTGTATAGGTATAGTTTTTATTTAGGTAGCTAAATATGGTATTTATCACAATATAAACACTTTAAAAAATATTACTCACAATGTTACTTTTATTATTAAAAATGATAAATGGAACTGTGATATATTTTCTGATTTTTCAGGGTGGCATACAAATTAAATCAGAGTTAAAGGCTATTTATCTTTAATGTCAAACAAAGTTAATTTTTTTAAGTACAAAATCAGAATATCACTTTATAATACTCTACTACTGTTATTGTACATTTGTTTGATTTAACTAGCATATTATTAGTATTAAACATCTCGCTTCAGTGTATCATATTGGATAATACTGCAATGGTAAATTTTCCTATTTCCTGGCCTTTATTATATAATATTTCTATGTAGAAAAATTCAGTGAAAACTGGCCAAAAATGTTTACTAATTGTTTCCAACAAATGGCCGCCTTTTAATTATAAAGATATCCAAAAAAATAATAACTATAATCAATTCAGTATACCCAATCATAAAATTATAAAGCAGAGATAGATAAACAATATATTGTAAGATTACAAAATATTGTAATGTGTTAAACAACCTCTACACTATCCCCGAAATGTTTACAAAATATTTCCAGAAATATTTCGTAGAACATTTCTTTCTCGATCAATTTCACGAAACGTGGGAACTAATTTTTATAACACGGGCTTATATTTATCGTACGATGTTGCAAAATAGTACGAAGCAATCAAGGTCAAACGTTGTGGTGATTTCAGAAAAATAAGTAAACATGGTGTATGAATAAGTATCATTCATTTGTAATGGAGTGTAAAAGATGTGTAAGATATACAATTTTATATACTAATTCATTATAATAAAATTAAATAATATACATGTTGTAATTATATTCCTGCAGATTGAGTGAAATGTTTTGTTCTTAAATATCTACTCTACACGTTATAAATGCGTGTTCAAATATTAATCTTGTAATTAACGAAATATCATCGTAACAACAGCTATTTTAGAAACGTCTAGGTTTCCTTCTTTCACTGAGTTTTATAAAAAAGTCCTTTGCCTCGGGTACAGATACCGCCGCGTAAATAAAATTGAACTAGGCAACAGGAAACGCCAAAAAGATCCCCCACGCCCTCCCCACGAGTAGTTCTCGAACGCTTTTAAGCATCGAAAGTAGATCGAGGCAAAGCGACAAAGTGGGGCGACGAAACGCGACCTTGACCTACTTCTAAGAGTTCTCTGCATAGTGTAGAGGCTGTTTTATAGAAATAATTGTTCATAATTATTTAATTGCATAATATGGTCACCATAAAATTAATTTGATTGGTTTTTAATTTTCGTACTATAAACGTGATATATCGTTATTAGATATTATGCTGAATAGATTGGATTTAAAATATTTTTGGATAACTCTACATTAAAACGTTTTTCAAAAGGTTGTGAACATTTTGGCGGTATAATTGTATATCTATCATTGTTAAAGTTTAAAGAAAGTCTCAAAGGTTTTACATGCCTCGCCCTCAGAATGCCTTTGCCTAGCCCGCAAAGCGAAAACTAAGTTTCTTTTAACAACTATTCTGGCGAATAACGCTCAACTGGCAATTTGATATTTCAATAATATAATATAAACTTATAATTTGATAAAATTCATAAACGCGAGAACGCATTGTTCTAAAATCGATAAGTGGCACGCGCCCCCCCGCGGGGTCGATCCAAATTTTTGTCTAACCTATGAACTTACTACCTCTATAAAATTTACAGATTAATATATACTTGGTACATTTTAAGGATTATGCTTAAATCTTTAGTAGAAATTTTATACTATGTTATAAGTTGTATTGTTGATTTCATTTTAGCAATTCTGAATCTACGTAGCAGTCTTTACTTGTCTTATTATACCTATGGCTAGAACAAATCAGTTTTTCTTGTTTGAATATCCTAGTATTTCCATTACTAAATACCTTCTATTATATTCTTTTTTGGTCTTATTTGATATTTGTAGTTTTAATCTCTTATCTTATTCTTTAGTTCGTTCTTTTTTATTTAAAACTAATTTCTATTGATATTTACCTGAATCTATTAAAAAAATACACATATATAAGCGATACCAAATAAACTTTTATTTACGTCATCAAGGGCGCGATTATTTATTATTATTATTAAAATAAAATTAAAAAATAAATTAGTATAAATTTAACTTAAAATTTTTACCTTGCAGTTACGAATTGTTTTTTAGAACCGCTTTTAGTGCGAAATGAACAATGCTCAAGCAGCTTAACAGCCGTTACCAAAGACTCATCGCAAACTTATTATTTTGAGGTGAGTTTAGTTGATGTAAATAATAAATGTTAATATATTTATAATTAATTCTTCAAGGTCGGCAACGTTGTGCCGGTCACGCTGTGCTTAATCACGTGCCTAAAAGTTTATTTGGTATGATCTGTTGTGAGCACAATGTATCAAACCACTTTTTTAAGAACCCCTTTATGAAATTACCACTAACCATATTATGAACCATCAGCAAATGATTATAAATTCCTAAAACTATTTTAAATATCTGCTGATGATACGACTTTAGGGCTCAAACGCACTGACGACCAGGTCGCGGCGACCAGCATTTGACTCAATGTTATTACTGGTCGCAGCTGCGTATCCTTATAACATTCAATCAAATGCTAGTCGCTGCTACCTGGTCGTCAGTGCGTTTGAGTCCTTAGATACAGAAATATGCTAACCATGTTAGGAAATGTCTTGGTGTATTATGGTTTATTTGTGTAAGGTTTTTGTAAAACAATGGAGGTCTAAAAATGTCTATATCTATGTGGCCGATTCATCTCTCCAAAAAATCCTATATGGGTAATTCGCAAAATAAAATAAAATAGTTATTTTTTGTAAACACTTCTGCTTTAATCCCAAAGGGAAACTACTTGCCAGAAGTTAGGTTTACAGATATACAATTTGCCTAACGAACAAAAAAAAATGCTTAACGTTTCGGAAAGTTTATCTCTTTCCGTCGCAAAAATAAAAAATAATCATACAGAAAGTTTGAGACTTTTTGGTTTTACCTTATTAAGTAATTGTTGTCAGGTACTAGCAGTTGTTAATTTTGAAGTTTAACTTGATATAATGTCATTTTAACAGAACGTCAACGGTCTTTGTAGACGTATCTGTTTTAGAAAACTAAAGTGTTCTCGAATAGTTGAATTTAAATATTTTAAATAGTTTTTTTCTTTATTCTTTGTATTTTTTGCTTCTGACGACGGAAAGAGATGAACTTGCCAAATTTGTATATCTGTAAACCTAACTTCTGACAAGTAGTTTCCGTTTGGGATTAACGCAAAGTTTTTACAAAAAATAACTATTTTATTTTGTAGATTTTCTTGCAGTGGCGAAATACCCATATAGGATTTTTTGGAAAAATGGAGGTCTAATATAAATTGTATATTATTTACTTGTAATTGAATCAGAAAACTTCAAATATCTTTTTTGGATATACAAATAAACAACACACCAATAATTGGTTAGGTTAGGTATTTCCTGTAGATCCTTTAATACATATTTAATCGGCTTTTTAGTTTTATCTTAGTAGTGAAAATACGAGGATATTAGTACAAACAAGAATGATCTTTTCAGACATAAGAAACAACTGACATTTCGAGAATTTTGAGTTCACCAGACTGGTTTAATAGATCCAGAACTGCTAGACCAATGGCACCTTAATTTAAATATTTGTTGTTTAAGACCGCTATTAACAAGGTATATATGCCCCGAGCTAGTTTGTGACTACAAACAGAATCACAACGCGCGCATATCCGGCTAGAGAAAATTTTGGCAACGGATGAACAGGAAACACTATCGCCGCGACGGTTATATGTTTCTTTTTTGTTACAGTTAACACACACTATTTATAATACTTACAAACATATTAGCGTAGTATTCAAAATAGCAATTATTACACATTTCTTTTTACGAATACGAGAAGACAAAACGGCCTGTACAATCAACACTGATTTGTTTAGTATTCACAGCCCATTTGGAATTTCTCGAATAGTTCGACAGCCCAACAATCACTCTAGAACGACGCCCTCTAGGGCCGAAATAAGTTTTGATTTCTTTGATGAATGTCAAAAGGCAAAATAAGTGTATTTGTGAAAATGGTATAGCGATTTGTCAGTAAAATCTACACGTCCATGGATGGAGATGAAGAATAATAATTAAGTTTTGAATCAATGATTAAGTCCTCTTAAAAAGGTATCTCTGTCAATAAAATTACTACCATAAAGGTATTGGGCATTTCTGGATTAGATAAATACAAGATACAACATTCAAAATATTCCAGATTCATTCCAGAATTACAAAGAACATTGAAAATATACCTATCTAAATGAACTATAAAAAATTATGCCAAATAAAGAAACTTATTGGTTAATATTAATTAATATTTCGGTCGACTATAGAATACCTTTTTATCGTCTTGTAAAAAATAACTAATTTATGTTAATTGGGTCATCTTTTTCTAAAATTGAGATTTGGCCCTTGCGATAAAGAGTATATTTAGTTTTATATTTTTAAAGCACATGTACAATGGGTTTTTGTCTGTTTTACACAGTACACATATATTTTTAAGCTGACACACTGTGTATATCATTTCCAATGTAATTATTGTATATTTTGTTGACAAAGATATCTTTTTATAAACAACTACTTTATGTAAAATTCCTCTATAACAATTTTTGTAGAATATAATGACTATAATGATTTAATTTTTAATATTATTTAATAATACTAATTTTAGAAGGTATTGGTAAAGCACTCTATTTGCTACAACTACAACGTTAATGACAAATACAATACACTTTATATTGAGCCTATAAAACTTGGGTTTTGTTAAAGATATGTCTCGCATCTGTGTTCTCCTACAGTTATTTTTAATATACTTTGAACAAACAAAACGTTCATATCGATGAGCAAAAGTCTATATCATTTTCGGCGTATACATGTTTTATGGGAAAAGCGCTTGAAACCCCATACAATCTATCACTACCACTATTCTTACTATATTCAGTATAATTCGGGTTGAGTTAAAGGCTTTTTAACATTACGTTTTAAAACTAAACGGTGTTTTCAAACCGAAAAACCACGATCACAATCGTTCGGCTGCCGAACTAAGAGGAGTTAATGAGTCTCGCTGCGTTAGTGCTTCCCTAGTGTGCTCGGGACAATTCGCCGGGTATGCCCTTAAAATCTGGATTTTGAATAAGTACAAACTAAGTAACTAGTATACTATTGGCGGCTAAATGTCCTTTTGAAAAGGTCGGCCGGATGTCCTATGGGTTAGTAGGGCCTGTTGGCGTCCTTGGGTCGCTTCAGCTGGACTTTGAGACGCTTCATGCCGATCTGGAACCCATTCATTGCCTGGATAGCTGCCTGGGCACTGGCCGGGTTGTCAAACGATACGAAACCTAGAAAAAAGTAGTATTTTTTTACTATATTTATGTAAAATGAGAAATAATACCGGGGATTTCTCAAAAGTGAAAATACCTTTTTTTATTTTTCCAGGTAATTAAACGAGATTTGGTACGTTAGAATATAATATAAACCAGGATTGATTGACGTATTCAATTGTTTTCGGTCACTTCCTGTTTCACCGGAAATGACTCCAACTTCTGATTTTTAAATGGTACCCTCGACATTTTTTTACTTTATTCGATAGAAAATGATACTCTGAATTGAATGACATATCATATGCCCACTTTTGACTTTCTCTATCTAGTCTAATATTTTTCGTGTCCTGGTTAGGTTAGGTTAGGACATTTTTTTACGAATAATTTGGTACCACACTGTTGGTATTTCGATTCAAAGTGTCGTTACATTTATGGCCATGACACTCTAAATTGAAATTTAAAATGCTATTTTTTTTGGTAGACACCGTAAAGAAACTCCAAACAAAAATAAGAAACGTAAACTCAGAACTACAACCTGAAATAAGCAAATCGGAAATTATGAGAGCATCGAAGAAAATGAAAAACAACAAATCACCTGGAAAAGACGGAATAACAACAGAAATGCTAAAGTACGGCGGAAAAGCTGTAGTTAATACTCTTTATATTCCCCTGAATAAAATCCTAATAGAAAAAATAATCCCAAACGACTGGAAGGAATCTATAACCATCATCCTACATAAAAAAGGTGATCGGGCAGATCTAAAAAACTATCGTCCTATAACACTCCTTAACGTAATTTATAAGCTCTTCACGAAAATATTAACCTTAACAACAAAATTTGACGGATACCAAGCAAAAGAACAAGCAGGCTTCAGAAAAGGATACAGTAGAGTTGACCACTTATTAACTATGAAAATACTAATAGAACGAGCCAATGAATACAACATCCCACTATATATTTGCATTTTGAAAAGGCTTTTGATAGTATTGAGTACTAGGCAGTTAAAACTTCCTTAATAAATAGCAGGATAGACTACAGATACGCAGACTTAATAGCCAACATATATAGCGAAGCAACAACAACAATTAAAATCCACGAAGGAACAAAGCCAATTCGCATAGGAAGAGGTGTCAGACAGGTTGACACAATATCCCCTAAACTCTTTAACCAGGCATTAGAAGAGGTTTTCAAAAATTTAGACTGGGAAGAAAAAGGTATCAAAATATGTGGACAATACTTGAATCACCTAAGATATGCGGATGATATCGCCTTAATAACAGAAAAGAAACAAGAACTGGTAGAAATGCTGGAAGAACTGGATACAGCAGCTAGAAGAATACGCCTAAATATGAACTACACTAAAACTAGAATCATAACAAACACAGATGAAAACATAACAACTTGGATAAACCAAGAAAAAATAGAACAAGTTGAAGAGTATATATATCTGGGACAAATGATTAAACTGAAAAAAGAAAACCAAACAGCTGAAATAAAGAGACGAGTAAGACTGGCCTGGGCAGAATTTGGAAAATTAAGTTACATATTAAAAAACAAAAGATATCCACAGTACCTCAAAACCAAAGTATATAATCAATTGTACTCCCTCTACTTACTTACGGATCCCAGACCTGGACACTGACAAAATCAAATATGGATAAGGTAACAAAATCTCAAAGATCTATGGAAAGACAAATGCTACATATAAGGCTGGCAGATAGAAAAAGGAATGAGTGGATCAGAGGAAAAACTAAAGTAAGGGATGTTAGAAGTGAAGTGGCAAAATTGAAATGGAAGTTTGCCGGTCACAATGTCAGACAGAAGGATGATCGATGGAACAAGTGCATCGTAAACTGGAGGCCCTGCGAGAATAGAAGAAGTAGAAGAAGACCCCAGATGAGATGGGCGGACGATCTGAGGAAACATGCAGGCACAAGATGGATGAGCACGGCGACAGAGAGGGAAGAGTGGAAGAGATTGGGGGAGGCCTATGTCCAACGATGGACCGAAGAGGCTGAATAGATAGATAGATAGATAGATTTTTTTAATTAAAAATGTCAAAAGCTGACTTGTCAATCTATTCAGAATGTGATTTTATATCACAAACATTAAAAAAATACCGAAAGTGTTTTTAAAAATCAGAAGTTGTATACGTGAATCAATCCTCATTTATGTCATATACTAACGTACCAAGGGGGTACCATGGGTAAGCCATTTTTGAGAAACATCCTGTATATAGATACCTACAACTAGTTTGAGTATTAATATATTTTTTTTAAATATATAAGGAGCGATCAAAACTGATTAAAATAGTTGCTAATAGTGCTTTAGAGGATTTTAGCATTAGTAATTTGTACTGATACTAAAATAAATGATTGGAAATCTCCTTGGAAATTTACTTATATATTTTTTTTGGAAATATATCCTAACTTTCTTATTTGTGAAATCGACATATTTTTTCAATGTAAAAATGTATTTACAATGAATTTAAGAACAAAGATGGAACAATATGATTAGACCATATCAAGGAACATTTTGCCTTTTAAATTTATAAAAATAAGCAGAACGTCTTTACTACTAACTTCAAATAAAGTTGATTGTATATTGGGCACCTTCTTTCTAGGACGTTTTTATAGGACTCCAAGTAAACATTTTTTCGGAATAAAACTCGAATTGAAAATATCTACCACTAACTTTGACGTTCTGAATACTTACATTGAAATTAAAGAAAAAAAACTACGCTAATGAAAACCACTAATTTATTCCACTAATTGCGAGGTTCTGAATGAAGTTTTACTTCTAATAATTAATCAATTTTTTTAAATTTATTGCCAATTCAAAAGAAGAAAATCAGAATAGTCAATTATTTATTGATTGATCGCTCCGAAGAAAATCCATTTAGAAATTTAAAAAAATAGAACACTAAATTGCTAATATAAAGTAACGATATTTTATATCAATCGATAATTCCGACCATCCGATCCTCGAGACCGAGGCTCTACTTACCGAAACACTTGCTTTGATTTGTGGCGCGGTCAATGAATACTTTAGAGCTGATTACGTTGCCGAAGGGCAAAAACATTTGCATAAGTTCTGCATCGCCAAATTCTTGCGGCAAATGGTAGATGAACAGATTACAGCCCTCCGGTCCAGATATCGAGCAGCCTGCGAGCAAAAAAAAATCTTAGCCGGGGCTTAGTGGCTTTTAATATATAGAGAGAGCGAATAAATGTCTGAAACGTATCTCGAGGCATTATCGTCTCCTTTTTTTTCTTTGTTGTGATAAAAATACATTTTCGAACGGTTTTATCGTATTGGTAGTTTTGAACATGCAGGATATGATTTGTAAATAAGTCAAAATGTAAAAGAGTATAAATGTCAATACAGTTGACGAATAAATTTGAAAATATTAAGATAATGTGCTATTCTATACAACATAATATTTTGTAAAGTGAAATTATATAAATATATTTTTCTTTCTTGAATAACTTGTTTAGTTTGTCATAAAATAAAATTTTATCCTGCATAACATAATATAGTATGATACGCATTTTTTGTTGGTACAGTCACCCTTTCTTTCTCTACTTAAGGCTGCTGATTAGTAAGCTAAAGTTTAAATATATGGTGCTATAATTATAATCAGAAATGTTGTATAAAACAGCACATGTTAAATTTACGTTAATATAAGTTCTGTGAATTTAATAGCCAAATTTTTACGAACTTAATTGACTCCAAGTTGTGTTAAATTATTTTAAGTATTATCAAGACCATAATATAAAATCTTTTTTTCTTCAAACGCCACAAAAGTATTAACTTTAGCGAAGTGTTTGACAATATAAAATAGTATATTGTTTTATTAGGAGTAAAAATGCAAAAAGGCGTAAAAACTCATTTCTACTCCGAATAGAACATGCCATTTTTTTCAAACGCCACAAATTCTTTTTTAAACAATTTCAAACGTTCCAGATAATATAAAGAGATTTAAAAGACATACCTTGTATGTAATTATATAAAAGAAGAAAGAATTATTGGGCAAAACATACAGTATAACATTAGCCTTGAAACATGGCTACCCGTAGACACTTAGTGTTTCTGCCTTCCGGCTTCATCAATACGGGAGGAATCAGCAACGATGAACTAGCGATCCTGAAAAAAGACGGGAAGCAAACGCCATGCCTGGTGCCTCGTTTGCTACCCTTTTTTCTTTTTTCATAATCGCTAGTTCATCGTTGCTAATTCCTACTGTATTGATGAAGCCGGAAGGCAGAAACACTAAGTGTCTACGGGTTTTGCCCAATAATTCTTACTTCTTTTTTATTACTGTCCTCACGATAACATATTTTGATTATTGTAATTATATACCGAGAAACTATGGTAACGCTCGTTGAATTTGACACTTTAACTCAGTTTAATAATATATTTTCGTACTTTTATGCTTAGGCGTAAAACAAAGAATATACCTAGCTAGAAAAAGAATGGACTCTACCATACTGAAAAATGGTCCTACAGAAGTGGCGCCATCTATTGAGTAGGGCTTGTCTTAAATGGATCGAAGCGCGGGCTTTTTAAATGAGCGTTTTTGTTGAATTTTACTCTAAAATAATTAAATTTGATTATTAAATCTTATTTTTTACACAAATTCAACAATACTAATAACAAGTATTGTTGTGATGTGTAAAAAATAAGATTTAACAGTATAATTTATACAATTATTAAATAAAATTAAAGCCAAACATGTGAAATATTATTTATTATTTAAAGTTCTTATTTATAAGTCAAATATTTACGCATCGTTTATTATAATAAAACAAGACCAACGTAATACGCCCAAAGTTTTGTAAATGGAGTAAATATAAATAGGTACTTAAATGATGGCAAATATAAAAGACTTACATTATATTTTTAGGGCCACAAACAAAAGGAATTGTCTAATTAAAACACATATAACAAATTATAGTTTGAAAAACGTTTTCATAATCATTTATTTGATAATATTATGATTGGCGCTATGACAACGACACTATTTTTTGAGAATTTGACAATAATATGACAATGGCCGTTGGAAACTATGGAAACTACAAAAAAAATTCTGATTTAACGCCATCTGGCAATAACTAGTAGCAACTTCTTAACCTAAAAATTAATTGCACTACCACCTAGTGGCTAGGGCTGGAACTATTTTATTTGAGATTTCCGTGGAAACGGTGGAACCGCTTTTGCTATTTCACTTTCCCGCCCCTGGCGTAAAAGTGCTTTGCTTTTTTGCCTAGGCCTTGATGAAATGATTTTTTTATATTGTCAGTAACTTCGCAAAATTTAATACTTTTGTGACGTTTGAAAAAAAGTAATTTTAACGCCTACGCATAAAAGTAAAGCACTTTTACGCCTAGACATAAAAGTACCAAAATATATTATTAAACTGACGTAATGTGTCAAATTCAACGAGCCTAACCATAGTTTCTCAATATATAATTACATACGAGGTACGACATTTAAATCTTTTTATATTATTTGGAACGTTTAAAATTGTTTAAAAAATTATTTGTGAAGTTTGAAAAAAAATACCATGTTCTGTTTGAAGTAAAAATTACTTTATAATGTCTCGCCTGTAATGTCAAACGTACAGCCTCACCACCAAAAGTATCAATTTTACTCCTAATAAAACAATATACTATTTTCTTTTATAAAATAATTTAAAACAACAAGACAACAAGAAATAATATTTGAACCATTTGCAAAAAAAATTGTTCTAATTTTTGAAAATAATGTAGTTAGTTGTAAAAATAGTGTTAAAGTTAAAAATAGTAAATTGGATACATCACTAAATAACTTATTTTATTATATTTTAATGATTGTGCAAAATATTGTTTTTGTTTAATATAATATATTAAACAACATTTTAATATATTAAGACGCAAATATGGAATTATCCTCATAAATTTAACAGATATAACAAGAATTCGTGCATTTTAAATAAATGGAAGAAAGGAATGCGAAAAATACTTGCCTAGATTGTCGATTATACGGTAAGCTGAAAAAAGACAAAATTATTATAATTGTTGCTCTCCAATTGTGTGGTTATCGATTCGTTTATTAAATGCTCAAATATCCTTTACGCTAGAATGCTAAGCTATGTACTAACGTTGACGACTAACAAAAATATTTTTACAATTTTACATTTCTTTCTTCCAGTGCCCCAATACTCCGATAGAAACATTTAGTCACATTTATATGAGAAGCAGTAAGGGAAGACATCTTAGTACTGAGGCATCTACATAGTAAAATTCTATAAATCGTGCAAATATTAGACATGTAACAACATATAGAACACGTAATTTTAGTATAAATTAGTATACAAAATGCAACATACAAAATATCGCAAAAATTACCGACAACTAACAAGTTGTCTTAAGACGGGTTTTCACTTGACAGTTTCTATGATGTTTAACAAAAAATGAATGTGGGAACACATTTTCAGTATTATTCCAGTATTATTCCAGTTTAATAAAAATGTGTTCACCTTCATTATAAGTTCAATATCACTGATTCAGTAAAACAGCGAGAGCGAAACAGATGAGAACTCGTCATTATGAATTAAATATTTTGAAACTGAATTGATTATGATATTCCCTCCAAATAATTATATTTTTGTCATATGATTGAATAATAACAAAGTTAAATAGATGTAAAAATACATTTTTAGTTTGGTAGGTGATAATGAAATATATAAAGTCGTCGTCAACAACTATAGTCTGGAAATTTAAACAGATTCTAGCTCGAATAACAATATTTTAAAAACCATATTTATTTTTTTATATACCAGTTTTAACAAAGATTTATTTTTTTTTCTTTATTTTGTTTTATGTCAACCATAAAATCTACTAAAAAGTAAAATAACCTACTGTGTTCATTTACCTTAAAAAATAAAACTTTATAATAGAACTATATAAAACAACTAATACTATCTGAAGGTAAAAATTGCGTCAAATTTGGTTTGGTCGATGTCATTTCATCCGTTAAATTATAAATGTCATCGATAGTAATTTCCATGTCAACATGACGCCATATTATTATCACACTGTATATCATTTATTTATTTAAAGAGTAAAATTTAGCTACACCAAAACAATAAAATATTGAAGGTTTGGTTTATAATATTCGCAAGTTACTTCATACAGGGTGAGTTTCCTACGATGTTCTCTATGGGTATCTCGGAAACTATTGGAGATAGAGAGTCGGTTAAATGGGGAAAGAATTGCAGTTTTGTGGGGTTATAAATATTCGCCTTTCAGATTTTTGAAAAAGTTCATGGCTTACTAGATATTTCGAAAAAAACAAATTTCGGCTATTTTAAAAATTGTCTCTAATTCCATTATAAGCTATTTTAGACAAAAAGTTTTCAGATAAAAGTTGTAGATAATCACATCCTTAATGAGACCGTGTCCTTCGTTTTTTTCTGAAGCCTGTCATTTTTGATATATGACACAAACATATGTTTTTTAAATGGAAACCATAGTTGGCCATGACTTCATAAAAAGCGCCATTTTTTAAGCTTTTTAGTGATATAAGCTATAATATGTTTTCTCTATTAAATATTAATTCTTTCCCCATTTAACCGACTCTCTATCTCCAGTAGTTTCCGAGATACCCATAGAGAACATCGTAGGAAACTCACCCTGTATATGCAGAAAATAACAGTTACATAATTCTTATGTATCTTATTTACAACTTATAAATTATGAACATTATGTCGCCATATACAGGGTGGTCCGAACTGTATTCCGGAAACTTCGGCAGCATATTCTGCAGATAAAAATATGTAAATACGTTCGTATGTCCTAAAATGCTTAGTTTCGGAGATACACGGTGTAGAAGATTCATTTTTATTTCGATTTTTTCCAGATAATTTCTGAAGTAACGTCAATATTTAGATAAAAATTGGTGTCTGGGAGTTTCTTGACATGATAAATTGGATTTTGATGTCAATATGACTCCTATTTATAGGGGGCGCCACCTACATGTGTTTTTACTATTTTGACAAGTAATAACTTTTCGTCCGTACCTGTATAAAACTACTGGATCAAAAAATATACATTTCCGTGATAATCTACGTAAAAAATGTCTCTGGGTAAAAATGGCTACGAGCAACCGTTCTCAAGATATTTAGAATGGAAATAGTCCATACATGTCATTATTGACGAAAAATAAACATATCCAGTAGATAGTTATTTGACTGAAATGATAAATTTGGAAACTTTTTATTTTTTTGAATAAATCATAAATTTTTCTACAAAAAAATGTTGATAAAACAGCTTCTGTTGAACTTTTGGCACAAAAACATTTAAATTTATGATTTTAGTCTAATAACTATTTAGTCTCAACATGTTTAATTATATTATTTATGTCAATGATGACAGGTAGTACTAATTTCGATCCCAAATATCTCGAGAACCATTACTCGTAGCTATTTTTACCAAGAGACCTTTTCTACGTAAAAAGCCTCATAAATGTATATTTTTTTACACAGCAGTTTTATACAGGTACGGACGAAAAGTTATTTCTCTTCAAACCATTTAAAAATTATGTAGGTGGCGCCCTTTACAAGTAGGAATCACATTGACATCAAAATCAAATTTCTCATGTCAAAAAACTTCCTGACACCAATTTTCATCCAAATATTGACGTTGTTTCAGAAATTATTTGGAAAAAATCAAAATAAAAATAAAACTTCAAAACCCTGTATCTCCGAAACTAAACATTTTAGGTCATACATTTATACGAACTTTTTTACTTATTTTTATCTGCAGAATATGATGCTGAAGTTTCCGGAATACAGTTCGGACCACTCTGTATATGTGTAGTGACATTTCTAAGGGTAAAAATTCTAGGTTGCTGAAACTGTGAAAGCGACTGAAATTCAGTCAAATGTTGAATGAGTTCTAAGAAAATTTTAAAATGTTTTACAGATAACTGTTAGTTGTATATAAGTTATATTTAATTAAGATGTTGAAAAATAAATGAGCACAGTATAGGGTCTTCCACTTCTTTAAACAATCTGTTCTAAGACCGAGGGTAGGAGATTTCATCGATGTTTTGAAGGAGTCGAGATTGTTGTGAAATTGTTAAACTCCTTATAAATAATAAAAGGAAACCGAGCTACACCGCAATGAATAAATTAAACGTGTAAAGCGTCACGTTATCTTTATTAAGGCTGCGTAAGTGCTTAAGGGAATATTATAACAGACTTTAGGGTAAATTAGTCAAGCGGGTGATTCTACGGAAATGGAATGTTTTCGCTCTCTGTAATATGTTCGGGGTTTTACCGTAAATTTATGATGCTCCGAATTGAAGCAGGTGAGCTGGATGAAGTTATTAATTTCTGTCTGTATTCAATTAAACATCTTAATTGTACGTTTGCCTGCGATTATTGTCGAAATAAATATATTTCAGAATCGTGAATTGAATTGTGTGCTCGAGTAAACTAAATAAAATAATATTATTTGAAAGTTTATATATTTTGTTATAATATATGCAGGGCGAGTTTTTAATAAGTGCAAATATTTCCAGGGCTGGTAGATCTCGATAAAAGAAACACACTTTCCTTTTACCGTTTTCCAAATAAGTCCAAAATAACCGAGATTTTTTACTTAGAAAATTTCTAAAAAAAATTTTTTGCTTACGTTTTGAGAATCACTGCATCTTTTCTGTTTTTTTTCTTGTAAATTTAATCTACTGCCTAAGTTTCAATATCATCAAGAAATTTTGGTTTTTAACTAAGGTTAAACGTTTTACTTGTGGTTACAAACTAAAAAAAAATCAGAAAATTCCAAATTTGCAAAAAAAATTTTTTCGCGGATCGTGTTTCTGTGGTCGAAATATATTACCTTTAAAAATATTTGTAATTATTTAAGGTTCACCCTGTATATTTTTATTCGTTATAAGATTATACAGGGTTGTTCACCACATACGACACGGAGTATTGTAGCTAAACGATGAGATTTTTACAAATTCTAAGTTTTGGGTTCGATGAAGGACTATTAGAGGTACAATTTAAAAATAATTTTACAAGATACAGAGTGTCCCAAATAAGTAAAAAATATCCATTTAAAGTTGTATTTAATGGAATGCGACCCTGTATATTATCAGGTTATTTCTATTTCTACGATTAAATAAAGGTTCCTTTAAGTTTCCGTAGAAAATGCATTTTCTTGTAATTTAGAACTTATTTATCAATATACCCATGGACTATTGACATTTTAGATTATTTTTAAAGATATACCAAAATTTAAAGAGTACAGATACTAATATTGTCGATATAATTCGTTTATTTCATTAAAAAAATAAAAAAAAACTGTTTAAATATTTGTTAAAGAGGACCAATTAATATGATTCCAGTATTCAAACTACATTAACTGACTGTTTGCGTTGATTAATAATAATTGCTCCAAATACTAAAAAACTGCATTAAAATACAAAAAATACATTAAAAAATAAAAAAAAAGACTGTTTAAATATTTGTTAAAGAGGACCAATTAATATGATTTCAGTATTCAAACTACATTAACTGACTGTTTGCGTTGATTAATAATAATTGCTCCAAATACTAAATTAAGTTTCCGTAGAAAATGCATTTTCTTGTAATTTAGAACTTATTTATCAATATACCCATGGACTATTGACATTTTAGATTATTTTTAAAGATGTACCAAATTTTTAAAGAGTACAGATACTAATATTGTCGATATAATTCGTTTATTTCATTAAAAAATAAAAAAAAAACTGTTTAAATATTTGTTAAAGAGGACCAATTAATATGATTCCAGTATTCAAACTACATTAACTGACTGTTTGCGTTGATTAATAATAATTGCTCCAAATACTAAAAACTGAATTTTGTATGGGCATTAGACAGTGTGATAAAAGTAACACCTTAAAAATGATATTTCATTTTTTAATAAATGCTTATTTATAACAACAAAGACTTTAATTTGATAACTTATTATTATATTGATTTCTGACTCAAAAATCCACATTTATTTATAATAATTTATTAACGAACACAGTTAAGTATGTAATTAATTAGTATATGGGCGTAAATAATGGTGTTATATTTAATTAATCGTATACTCTTTTATAAAGATTTAAATAGTTTTCTTTTTGCATACAAATGGGCTAGTAATATTATCGTTTTGCTAAAAACAATCTCATATGTCAATATTCCATGGATATATTGATAAATGAGGTCTAAATTATAAGAAAATGCATTTTCTAGGAAAACTTGAAGGGATAGGTAAAAAATGGTATAATACAATTTGATAGACAATTTAATTGTGCATCTGATTCTCCTAAAACATACAGGGCATTCCATTTAAATTAAAGAAGTTATTGCCGTTTGAAGCTAATAATTATTTAAAATAAATTTTTAGACACTCTGTATAAGGTAATATTATTTTTATTATTGCAACACAATAACTGATCAATATATAAACTTCATTAAATATTTAGTATTAAAAACATTGATACCCTTGGAGAAACGAAGCTTTAAAATTTTTACTGTAATTTCACAAAATTGAAAATATTTCAAAAACGGTAAGGTTTAAGTATAATAAACCTTAATCAAATTTACCTTTATTTTAATCGTAGAAACTAAAAATGTAATAATATACAGGGTGTTCCATTTAAAAAAATACAACTTTGATATTTTTTATTTATTTGGGACACTGTATATTGTAAAAATATTTTTAAATTGTAGCTCTAATAGTTCTTCAATGAACCCCAAACTTACAATTTGTAAAAATCTCATCGTTTAGCTACAATACTCCGTGTCGTATGTGGTGAACAACCCTGTATAGTATCATTAGTGTCTCAAAATAATATTAATCTTTTTACTTTTTTAACAATCATAGAATTTGTTGCCATTTCTCTGAGAGAGAAAAACTCACAGTAGAGAGTATAAAAAATGTAACAAATAAGTAATTATTTAGTAACATAAACTTCCTTTATTGTGTTGTGAATTTATTTTTCAACAATTTTTTAAAACAAATAGTATGAATTGTTTACTATACTATGTCTGTCCAAACAATCAGGGAGGATTTCGACAGAAAACATCCAAAAGTGACAGAAAATACAATTTAACTGACAGACACTAACACACAGACACTTGTAATCTGTTATTTTTTGTTTTTAACTTATTGGTTCCTTGATTACTCATTTTGAAAAATTGATTTTATTTATAAACCAACTAGTATTTAACCTCACATCAAAAATCGATAAGAGAGAAATTAAAAATAAGTAGATAATTCAAGATGTATGTGAGAAATAGCTGATTTAATTATTTTTTCGTTAAACATTTAAGATTTATGATCATTTTATTTTGAAAATATATAAATAGATACTAAATATTTTACAGATTTTCACGATAAACAGTACATTTCCAAAGAACCCCTCGTGTGCTGAAAATTAGTTAGATATTTTGACTAATTTCCGTTTGAACCGACGAAAGCTTACCTTCTCGCTGGGCTGGGGCTATCGCTGACACGGGTGGAGGTATGGCCTGGGGGAATTGACCATAAACTGCGGGGTAAGCTGCTGAACAGATACATAAAAATCACACCCATACCATTTTAGATGCAACAGAACATGCGGTTTCATGGCACATGTTTCAATTAACTCATTGCTTCTGTAGTTTATGTTTACAATCAACTCTTTTCTTAATTATAAGAGATTTTTAATTACTTAATTCAGGGTATAAAAATTTTAAAAAAGTCTGAAGAAAAATTAAGCATCTTGTAAATGAAAGCAGAGTTTCTTAAGAATATAAATTTTATTAGGGAAACTTTTTATTTATCTTGTAATTTAAATATTTGACAAGATTTTTATATTTTGAAAAGAAATAGACTTTTGTAGAGCAGAATTTTGAAATTTTTCGATAATTAGTATAAAGTAAAGTTTACAAAATATTTTTTTCCAAAATAAAGAGATTAGCTTAATTACAAAAAATATAAGTGTAGTCATTTTCCATTTATATCCAGTAGCATTCTGCAAAAACTAGGTCTTCTGTTATAATAATAAAATTAAAATATCAATAACTTCAAATATTACTATAGATACTTCTAAACAGTTAAATAGAAACATGTAATACCAAACTTCACAAGCAATGAATAATGCTAAAGAGATTTTTTTTGAAATCATAATAAACTTAAAACCTCATTTTCTTATGATACATGTCGGTATGGTAAAATATAATAATACTAAGCAAAGAATGATAATTTTTTTCATATCGTAACGTTCCATTCACAACTTAAGCTTTATTCATTTTTTATAAATCAGATCATCCACACTTCAGTTTTCACATATCAAGACATAAACATACGATGTTTAATATAGAAACAACATTAAACACTAATATAGAATATTTAAAGCCACATTTAATATTCAAATAGTGTAAACACCGAACATTAAGGTGAAACAAGCTACAGTTAAGGTGAATTGTTTTAATAACTCAATATATAACAAGATATTTTTTATTTAACTGAATTTAATTATAATATCACCATTTAATGGAACTTAAAAATTTAAAAAAGTGTTATTAAAATCGAATTTATTAAGATACAAGAATTTAGATGGTGATATGGTTCCGAAAATTTAAATGTTGTAGTTAAATTTTTCTGGTTTAAACGTATTCTGATGTAGCTTTGACTAAGCTCGGTCACCATCCGCTAAAGTAATTTTCTAACGAAGCAATTACACAACGAAATTGACTTACCAACTCCCGGATATCCGGGTTGCATTGCCTGGAATGCGGCTGGATGCTGTAAAGCCGCCTCGCCGTTGGGTAGTCCCTGCGCTGGAATGGACAGATGGAGCGCATCTAAATTGGAATACAAGAAGTGTGTTTGTAATTATTTATTTAAAAATGTTTAATTAAATATCATGTTCTCCACTTTACGTAGTTTGTATTTTTCTTCCTTTATACAGGGTGTTTCAAAACAAATGCGAAAAACTTTAGGGGGTGATTCCTTGTTCAAAATAAAGGGTAGTTTGCTTTATAAACGTTGGGTCAAAAGTCAACCATTAGGGAGATATCGCGGTACAAAGACGGCGGAAAAATAATGTTTTTATTTTTTATCTTGAAAACGAAAAGAGATACACTAATGAAATTTTATGGAAGCATTACTGTTATGAAAACACACTTTCAGGTAATTTTTTTACTTTTTTAAAATGAGTGGAAGGGGTTGAAATAGACTACCCCTATCATTCTTGTTAACGAAATTTAAAGAAAAATCTTATCAAACACATTCAAATGCTTTAATTTGGATAGTTTAGTTTGTTTAGAAACTTTTTTACCTCTTGTGTTTTTTTGATAAAACTCACCGATTGGAAATTAAAAAATAAAATGTAAAGCATTACATGTCAGGACAAAAAACATTTTTTAGATTAAGAATCTAGTGATAATAACGATAATAATAATCATCTAGATAATAACGTATTGCAGTAGAGTAATGTCAAATAAAATAATATTAGGAACATCCTAAAAAGTAACAGCGGCCGACTAGATTTTTTCCTAAAAAAATTACAGCAGCCCGCTAGATTCTTTATCAGAAAATGTTTTTTGTCCTGACATGTAATTCTTTACATTTTATTTTTTAATTTCAAATCGGTGAGTTTTATCAAAAAAATGCCAGAGATAAAAAAGTTTCTAAACAAACTAAACTATCCAAATTAATTTTTTTGTATGTGTTTGATAAGATTTTTCTTTAAATTTCGTTAACAAGAATGATAGGGGTAGTTTATTTCAACCCATTCCACTCATTTTAAAAAAGTGAAAAAATTACCAGAAAGTGTGTTTTCATACACATACATAGTAATGCTTCCATAACATTTTATTAGTCTATCTCTTTTCGTTTTCAAGATAAAAAATAAAAACATTTTTCCGCCATCTTTGTACCGCAATATCTCCCTAATGGTTGACTTTTGACCCAACGTTTATGAAGCAAACTACCCTTTATTTTGAACAAGGAATCACCCCCTGAAGTTTTTCGCATTTGTTTTGAAACACCCTGTATATGTGTTGTTTGTTTTAACAGCTTATTAATTAATGCAAAATTTTAGAAACTTTTGTTTTCTATTTTAAAATATTAGTTTAATTAATTTAATATGATTTACTACTTTTATTTATGTTAAATTTTAAATCTCCATGGCCTAATTACTGCATTTTCTATGAATATTATTACTGTTATATTATTAATAAAAGGTAAATCGTGTACAACTGAATTATGCATCACGATTATCATACATTATCGGTCTAAAGTTGAGAATATCATTTCACTTCCTTATGTTTCTGATACCTCATCTCAGTTAAAAATGAGGTTTTTTGATGTTCTGACAATATTCAAGATATATCAGAATTATGCATAATTATATTTATTTAATAGTTTAAAGTCGTAGCATAGAACTCAAGAACGATGGTATATTTTATAATATCGGGAATATATCAACCATCAATACCGAGGGTTTTTCATAAGCGACTCGCCCCTTTAACTTTTTTGTTTTTTAGATAAAAATAAAGATATTTGGTATGTTCTACTATGATTCTAAATCAGGATTGATTGATGTATTCAATTATTTTCGGTCGATTATTACTTCCTGTTTCACCGGAAATGAGTACAACTTTTTTGTTTTTGACATCTGATTTTTAAATGGAATCCTCAGTATTTTTATTATTTATTTAATAGAAAATGGCATATCATTATGTCAACTTTTGATATTTTATTTTAGAAAAAATTGTATTTTAAATTTTAATATAAAGTGTCACGACTGACGATATTTTAAGGTTTTTGGTGACGGTTCCTGGTCGGTTAAAAAATGCCCAAATGTTTTTGATTTTTAGAACCTCAACCATATTTTTTTTTAATTTTCTCTAAAACGGTATGAAAATTTCAAAAAGCATAAACGGGATTACCGATTTTAGAACAAGCAAAAATTTTTATGAAGAATGCATTTTTCTCAAAATGTCTATAATAAAAAAGTTTTTGCTCTTGTAAAGACAATCCGGGGATGTATTGTATATAGCAGTTTTCATTAGATATAGAGGTCATGTCAATTTAGATATAAACGTCCTGCCAAATTAGCTACAGTTTAATTAACGAACTTACGTGGAGGAAAAGTCTGAGGAGGGATTCCGTTTGTATACACAGGTTCTTGGCCATTAACTTGGGGGCCGTTGGGGGTTTGCGCCGCCATATTGAATGTTGGCATCGTGGGCGATGGCAGACTGGGAATTGCTCCGTTTACCGGCTGACCGTTCCGGTCAACCGGGGGACCCACTTGGACGTCCGTGAATTCTGGAGCTGGAATGGATATTGCACATGAAATTGCAAATGCCGGGTTCGTTGTTTCGTTTTGAATTTCTACCAAAGAAAACAAAGTGACCGTAATGGAGAAATTATTAAAACAACAATATTCTTATTCTATACATCATTATTTGAAAATAAACCGTCAAATTAATTTTTATCTTAACACGTTTTTCTTACGATTTCTTTATATATTTCTTGTATTATTCAAATGCGCTTACAGCACTTCAAATTATTCACAGCGCACGGGCACGAAAAACGGTCAATAAATGATTTTTTAAGCAATTTGTATCTAAATTATTTGACTTTTTAATATCTCTTTCTAAATTAAAAATGAAAGTTGCCATCAAAGAAATTTTATCAGAAAGTGTTAGTAGACTACAAATAAATAATAATGAACAACTTTTTTATAAAAATATATAATAGTTAATATATTCTTGTTAGATGTAAAAATAGTTAAGGGCTATTAGTAATCCTGAAAAAAATATTTCATTAAAAATTTCTATCTATCCGAACTTTATATACAAATCCTACGAGCCTGCGCCAATAATGATTTTTAGGGTTTAAAGATACTACAAAATAAATAGACATTAGCGGAAAGAGCGAAATTAGATTTCAAAATTAATAATCTATTTCTGATCTGTTTTATGACATTAAAAATATACAATAAAAGAGATGACTAACTCATCAAAATGTAAAAGTGGTAAAAGGAAAGAAGTTTTTTTGTAATTTATTAATTGCCCAGTCTACTCAGTACCGTCTGGTTAACTTGTGGTCTTTGTTGTTACAGTTGGGGGTTGGAACGTGTTACAACAGCAAAATTAAACACTAATTCACTACAATAATACACCATAACAGTTTACATTTTGAACGCGCGTTGAAAACTGACTAATGTTTATTCAAGATTATGTTTTTGTCAATTTTATACACATTTTATTTTAAAATGTTAGATGTATAGGAGTGTATAATTAATATAGATAATCTTTTTTATATAAGTAAAAAAAATATAAGAAATAAAAGTAGTTTCCAAATAATGTAATAATATACCGGGTGCTCAATTTAAAATAACAGAGATGCTACTACTTTTGAAATGATTCTGTAAAAACATCTGCCCTATCGTCGCAGTGTATCACTCTGTATACCCCTCGTCCAAAAGCGGAAATTTTGTGAATAACTTTAAAGACGATCATACAGTGCCTTTATAGTTATTTTATCGTCGATCGAAAAGATTAATTCACGAGCGATGAAATCGCGAGTGAATTAATTTCGGGAGAAGATAATGCAATTTTATCGTCGTGTATAAAACAATAGTTTTTTTCTATAGCGAGTTATGTTTTAAAAAATATTCAGAAATTATTGTTTCAAGGAATTTATTACCAGTGGAAAAAATATTGTGCTGGGTTGGCATTGGTTTCTATGTAATTTGACAAATAAGTAAAGCTGTCTCTTTGGTTGTCAGTTTTGAGTCAATATTTTTTAATTCCCTTTCGTGTCGATTGCTGATTGATTTGGAGGCAGAAATGCAGAGGGTAAGTACATGAGGCAATGTGGTGTACAACCTATGGGCATTGTCGGGCAGTGCGGGGCATTGGTAATTGTCGGGTATTGCGGGGCATTGTGTGGCATTGCGGGGGTATTATGAGGCATTGTTGAAGAATACAAGGTATTGTGAGGCATTGTTGAGCAATATGAGGCATTGAAAGGGCAATGTGGTGCAATATTTAAGCTAAACATATTGCGCGCGCATTCTCCCACCATCACTTTGATTACGTCATTACATCACCAACACTCAAACGGCTTGCAGTCGTCAGCGCAACGGGTCAACGCTCTAGCTCCAGCCACCTTGTTTATTGTTTCGGAGTATGTAGTTATTGTCGCAGTATGTATATGCGAGTTCATTTTAAGCGATACCACTATTGCTATCTCCAAAATGGAAAGAGCTATACGGTCGGTTAAATTAGGGAAAAGTTGCCTGTCTGCAGTTTCTATACCTACCTATAAATATAAACTGTTCGTCTGTTATTAGTCCTAAGTTTTTTTTGCGAAAGCGAGTTTATTTTTTATATTTCTGTTATGTGTAGTTTTTTAATGAAAATATAAATATTATGGTTTGGTGCCTTTAGGTAATTTATTATGACAAGAAAATACATAAGAACTATTCAGGGGCTATAAAAAAGTGTTTACCCTTTTTAATATTATTTGTCTCTTTTCACCACATGCAATGAAAAGAGGTAGATATATATTGCAATAGGGGGCATTGCCAGGCAATGTTGGGCAATACGGGGCATTGTTGGACAATACGAGGCATTATTGGGCAATACGGGGCATTGTTGAACAATGTGGGGCATTGTCGGGCATGATTGAGTGGGAAAGGGGCATTGCGGGTCAATATTCGAGTAATCGAGGCATTCATTGCCTTTTCGTGTACAGAAATTCCAACCAAACTTACCCCCCTGCAGAAATGTCTCAAAACGAAATAAGTGAATTACCAACATAAAGTCCCTATATATATAAAGTACCTCAATTACCGCCATATTGGCGCCAAAACTAGCGGCAAATTTAAAAAGGATGCCAACATTTCGCTGTTTCGGCTTTTTAAGCAGCTGGTCGGTCCGGCGCCAATATGGCCGACCAACATTGACAGGCAAGCCGTAAAATAAAATATTTATTAATTGTAATAGAATTACGTTTATTATCTACAGTTTACCTTCATTTTAATGTAATATCAGGTGGTATATTAATATTCAATTTCATAAATTTAATTTTTTAGGCCTATATATGTTAAGAGGTTATAAACGAATGGTTTCCGTACAAGTGTTTTTCATTTGTATTAGCATTTATTTTATGTTACCTTTTAGCGCAAAGTACGCCAACAGAAGTAAGTTAATAGGTAAGAAGAAATAAAGGTGGAATAACATTTAGAATTTTAGTACTTAATTCAGTCGAAACAATTGGAAAAACTTTGTTTGTTGATGAGAACGGGATACCATAAGTAAACTTTCCCTATTATACCAGTTATGCTGTAGTTAGTTTTGACAAATAAGCATGATTTAACGAAAGCCTTTGGAACTATGAATAAGCTACAAACTTATATTTGAAGGCCGGCTTTTATACGAGAAAATTTTGAACGATGGTTGAAACAAATAAATGTAATAATTAAATTGATATGATACATACCTGCTATTTTTGAAATATATTAATATATTGATAGAAAGATTGTTTCAATTAGTATTACTTCAGGTAGTTTCGGCATTTTAGGTATGTAATTGAGCACTTAAAAAATAACTTAGAAAGAAGCTTGAAACGCATAGGAGCTCTTTATGTATGCTGTATAATTATGGTTTGTATGTTATGGAGTGAGTTTTATACAACAAATTTATTATTAGTTGAATAAAAGCAAGTTAATACCACATAATACAATTAAAATATATTTTACTGTGCAATTTAATGTTATATTTTTAAAACAACAAGTGTCATAATGTTTAAGTATCATTATAATAAAAAAGTTATACTGCTATAAATTTAACATTGAAATAACTGTAATTATTGTTATACATAAATTAAGTAGGAATAATTTTACCTCGACAATATGTAAAACTTCAAATGAATCTTAACAATTTTATGTCATGTATAAAAATCAAATTTAAATCACACACTTTTATTTATAACTGACAGTATAAGACCAAATTTTTAAATATAACTTTACATGCTTACATTATATTGTTTACTTTCTATTAGTAATTACAATATGAACCAAAAAATATTAATTACTATCAATAAATACATAAAAACTAATCTATTTAAGTCCATGAAAATAACTATATAGTTAGCATATGCATAAACAACATTCTTGTTATTAGGATCAAATTTATTTGAGCTTTTTTTCATTGTTTTGATTAATATCCCTGTTAGTCCTGACTGGTAAAACCACCTGAAGCGATGTCATCCAAATCTATATATGTATCATAACATAACTTATTCTTTTAAATAATTATCCTTCGTTTGGTCTGATGATAATATATTGTAGATTTATCTAAACTTCTTGCTGCAAAATGTTGAAAACTAAACTACACTAAACATTTTAGGGAATGATTACGTAGAGATTTCACTTACACTTAGCATCCTTTTTAAAAGATATGTATGGTAGTTTGCAAGTAAGGTCTTTGTCTTGTTCTAGATTAGATTTCTAGAGGTTGATTTCGGCCTGACCCACTGCGACCTTCTCAGATCTATTGTGGTCTTGTCTTGTTCTATAATGAAGTTTTATGTACCAGTAGGTTATACTACAAATAAGATTGTTAAAAATATTCACTGGAGCATAAATAAATTCAATCCACTACCTAACGTGTATTGAATATCGACGATGTTAGAAACACATCAAATGGCGGCCTTTTCGTGTAATACACATTTCTTCACTAAAGATATCGACGCCTATACATTATTAACTAAAAATTTGTAGCATTTTAGTGGCTTTATAATTATTTTAAAATATGTGGATAAATATTTTTATCCTGAAATTGACAGCTTCTCAACATTTGACATGACAAATTCAGACAAATGTGACATTTAAACAGTCCTACCACTACAGTTTTTCCAGAAATACCCCAAAAATCCGCCATTTTGGCGCCAATAACATTGAACAAACCAATTGCGGTACTTTATATATCTAGGGACTTTATACCAACAGATATTCAAGCTGAGGCGACAAACGTCATAACCAAACTGCTAGCATTTAAATCCCGAATAACTTTTATGAAAAGGAATACAAACATTTTCAAAAATGGAAGCAATTAAAACACGTGCGAGAAGAAATAAAGTTTTTAACCTATCCTCGCTGTTAAAGTATCATTAAATCTAATTGCAGTTAAAGTATAATTTTATCTACTATTTTTGATAGATATAACACAATTTTAACAGTTTCTATGGAAAAAAAAATATTCACACTATTCCAAATCTTTCCACAATATTAGAACGTTTTAACAAGTCCATGACGTGGCACGTCCTTCGTCATTTTATTACGACCAATAACGAAAGCGACACACGTTGTGCCCGCACGTCAAAGGCCGTCTGTTAGGCGGGTTTGTTTACTCTCTGGTCCCGCTGTTTTTGCACTGCCAAATCGTTTTAAAGTGACATTTCACGCGCCCCTGCTCCGAACAAACATTCGGAGTCGAATGTTTACAATGAGGTACTTATTTGTTTGACGCCGGCGGCCCGCTATCGAAAGCCGCCCCCGGTCGTGTTTTGCTCGTGGGGCGGGATTAGACCCAACTTTTTGCACGCGTGTTTTGCGATTAGAATAAAAGCCTTTAATTAAAGGCGAAAGATCGATGGTCCGAGCTTAATAGGATAGTCTCGGCTAAGTAACTGGGGTTTACCCTTAGATAAAAAGAATAGAATTGTAGTATGTATGCAAGGGGGAATGTAATTACCCCGACCTTACAGACCTATTGTGTCTCCCTTTCTTGAGTTATAACTAATAATAAAGTCTCATGGCTTTGACAAAAGTCAGTTTCTCAGACGGTTTTACAGAGGTTAGTTCTCCATCTCCGATATCAGTATCAGGAAAGTTTATTTCGAATGGTTATCGAGAGGTGCCCGGTGGCGTAGAGGTACAAGCTCTCGTCTACCAATCTCATGGTGTAGAAGAGAGAAATGGTGCACCTTAACAGAAAATATGAATCAACATTCGAGTAAAAAAGCTTGGAATCTGTTAAGAAAATTAGGAAGTAGCATACCAACCAACAACATCGAGTCGAAAATAAACTCTAACAAAATAGCAGTCAGAATTGTCAACCTAACGAGAACACCGAAAGATAACGATAAACAAAAATCCAGGGAAATCAAATATGAATTAAAATCCAAAATGCTACAAGCGCAGCCATCTGAACTTTCAAGAGAGATCTCTTCTGAAAAAATGCTCTTAGCCATACGTGATATAAAACTGTGTAAAGCACGTGATATAAAACTGGTTTTGATAGCATTTACCCCTCAAGTATGCTGGCCCTAATGGCTGGCCGAACTGTTCAACGAAATAATAAAAACAAGCAGGCTCCCGAAGCTATTTAAAAGGACAAAGGTAAGCCATTTTAAAGCCATCTAAATCTGGACACAACGCTGAGGATTACAGGCCCATTGCACTCATGAGTGTTTGCTACAAATTGCTGGAGAGACTTCTGTATAATAGACTGGCACCAACTATCTTAGAACAGATTCCTATAGAACAGGCCGGTTTCAGACCAAACCGAAGTTGCAGCGACCAAGTTCTAGCGCTAACAACTCATATAGAGAGGAGATTTCAAGAAGTCTGTGGCTGTGTTCATCGATCTAACATCGGCGTACGATACGGTATGGCGAAAGGGAATGGTCCTAAAATTCATAAGGGTGATACCATGTAAGCTAATTGCACAACTATTAAATAGCATGCTGTCTAGCCGGAAGTTCCAAGGTCACCTAAATGGAAATGTAAGCAAGCTATATAATTTAAATGACGGATTACCACAAGGATCAGTGCTGGCCCCGCTCCTTTTCAATTTATACATTTCTGACCTACCGGAAACGAGAGCACGAAAGTTTATTTACGCCGATGACATAGCCCTAGTGACCCAATCGAATGATTTTAACAGTTCGGAGGCAGTGCTCACTAGTGATTTGCAAATGCTAGAAACGTTTCTACATACATGGAGGCTCAAGATCAACGTAAATAAAACAGAATCTAGTACGTTCCATCTAAGCAATAAATATGCGAACTACAGGCCGCAGATTGAATTCAGAAATCATGTACTGCAATACAACCATCTCCCAAAATATCTTGGCGTGACATTGGATCGCTCTCTAACATATAAACAATATCTAACTAAAATGGCCTCCAACTTGAAAACTAGAAACCACGTACTTCACAAACTATCTGGAACAAGTTGGGGAGCAGACGCACCAGTCCTAAAAACTACAGCGCTTTCACTCGTATACTCAGTCGCTGAGTACTGCTGTCCTGTGTGGGCCAATAGTGCTCATACAAATATTATTGACACACAGCTCAACGAAGCTATGAGGACTATATCAGGCACAGTAAAGTCCACACCGACACAATGGTTGCCTGTTCTGTCAAATATTGAGCCCCCGGAAATACGTCGCCAAGCAGCACTAAAAAAAGAATGCGGAAAATGTTCTGCAGATCCTGACTTACCATTACACCAGGATTGCCTAGATAATCAAAGGCAAAGGCTAAAGTCTAGGAGACCTTCTTGGAAACTGGGCGAAAGACTAACCCGTGAAGATTTTCTACCTCAAACAGCCTGGCAGAAAGAATGGTATACGTCAAACCCCGACTCGGCAAATTTAATTATCGATCCGTCACACAAGCCCCCGGGTTTCAACCTCCCTAGAAGAACATGGACGACCCTTAACCGTATACGTACTGGTCACGGAAGATGCCAGTATATGAAGCACAAGTGGGGAATATCAGAGGATGCTAGCTGTGATTGCGGGCACCAACAACAAACAACATTTCATATTGTCACAGAATGCCCCTTGCGAAAATTTCCGGGAACAAGTTTGACATACATGAAGCTTCCGAGGAGGCAGTTGACTGGATGAAGGCACTAGACATCCACCTTTAACCCACCACAGTCACTTCATCAAATTTTATTTTATTTCGTAATTTTTATATGTACATATATTTTTTATTTTTACATTGTATTGTTCTTGTTTGGACTTCATGTTTGATGACAACACGTGTGTTTGTGGTTGTATGTATATTTTATTATTGTTTATATTGTGAATAGTATCCTATACTGCCATACACGAAATATATATATGGTGTGGGTTCGAATCCTACACCCGGTATTTCATCAGCCGACTATTTTTATTAAAATAAAAATAGTTTGGGTACCTAGGTCGACTCAGCCTTAAATGAGTATTTGAGATTCACAATCCTAAGGTAATAATAGGCGGTTGAAGCGTAGTGCTAGCCACATTACCTTCCTTGTATACCGAACGGCTCTAGCATGGCAAGCTGTACTTTGCTACTCCCAAGGCGTTAAACGCTATATACGGGAGCTATTATTATTATATGGTTATCGAGAGTAAATGATAAAAAGAGCAAGAATGAAGATTAGCGTCTACGTCCCACTAGTCAAATCCGTCACCCGACAATGTTGCCGTTTGTTGTCCCTTAATTTCAGGATTTTCAATTGTCAGCTAATCCAAAGACGTTTATTTTTACGGTTTATTTCAAAGTTTGATTGTTATTTGGCTTATTTTGTTAAACGTTTTTAATAGTAATCAGAATACTAAATAAAGCAAGAATAAGTGAAATGAATACGTACCAATTTTTGTGTAGAGAATTAAGAGCTCATATTTGAAGAGGATTTTTTTGAGGTCTCTATCAACCCTTTTTTTCAGATTATGAAGTGAAAAAATAGTCGATTTTTTGATCCACCTTAATATACAGGGTGGTCGAAAATGCTGTATGTATCTATTATTTATTTCTCTACTATTTGATGTAAAATTTACTTTTTTTCCTTATGAATTAGTTTCAAGTATAATAACTGTAAAATAAATAAGAGCGATATTCTATATTCTATAGCTATTTTCTATACATTATCTGTTTCAGTAACTTAATATTAATAAAAAATCGTTAAGTATACTTTTAGTTGTCTAGCTAATCTGTTTTCACTTACAAAAGTTTATTTTTGAGTAATGAATTTTTGTTCCGAAATATTAGCTATTTGCAAAAATAAATACCCGTTTAAATAAAATACGCCTTTGTATTCCTCAGATAACTGAATTCCCCTTACATAGACTGCGCAAGTAAAATATATTCCTATTAAATTTAAAAGCCTTTTCTCAGCGCTCCTTTATGAAATATTCAACGGAAACTATTTTTTCAATGTCCATTTCGAAATAAGGACGGAGCGGAAAGGAAACGCTGCGCATCAAATTCATTGAGAGGGTTTATTTACTTTGTTTTGCTCGTACTGCACACCAGCACGCCCCATAGCTATTTAAATATTTTAACAATTTTTTCGGGTTAATTTAAGAATAAATTTTGCAAAGCGCGAAAATAATTTAAGCGGAATCTAGTTCGGTCTTTAAATGTTCAGTGAAATTTTGAATAAATTAATTTAAAAAGAGAACAGAGTAATTGTTATAGAAATTTTAGTTTTTACTGAAGATGTCTCTATTTTTGCGTTTTTTTTTTCTTACAAGATTTTTGTAATTAGTGTATTTATCTTGAAATTTATTTAACAAACTTATTTTGATTCCAAAAGTACAAAGTAGTTCTATGTCCAAGAAATATTAGAACACACTGTATATAAAACTTATTTAAAAAAAAGTATTTAAAAAAGACTAAAGCCTATGAAATCTGACGGTTCATTTTATTTTTCGTCATATTCCATTTTTCGCTCTTTCAGTAATATCCTGTATTGATTTAAAGGTATCATTACCTGACGTGGGTGGTGCAACTACTCCATTTCCTACCCCATTGAGTCCATTAATTCCGTTTATGGCATGAGGTAATTGGGCAATCGCGGCCATAGGGTTAATGTAAGTACCCTGTGCTGTTGCAGCTGCCATTAAAGCAGCTTGTTGCTAAAAGAAAACAAAACGTTCAGTTACGTATGTGATTTTCAGTTTTGCAAACACACTATGAACAAAACAGACTCAAGATTTAATTAAATAGTGTTTGGAACTAAAATACTTTTTACATTCTACATATAAAATAACATTTGTGCATCAGTAAAAATTATTGACAGCATTCATATTTCTTAAGGACTACAAACTCAGCAACACTAACTGATCATCAAATAATCGACTGAAAACGATATAACTGCAGTCTTAGAAATATTTCCCAGAGAGTTTTACTCTATGTCTATCACTGATAACTCTTGACAAAGACAGTAGCAGTTAATCATGAGTTATTTCGCAAATAATGAGAATTCACTAGCTGATCAGTCTCATAAACTATAATCTACACATACAATAAAGCAAATTCAACATTTTTTTCAATGGATTGTGCGTTATACCTGTGCGTAAGCTCCGTAGGCGCCGAATTGGTTAAATACAAATGGATTGAGTAGACTCATGTTTCCGGCCATCTGCTGCATACGTCTAAGTTGTCGTTCTTTTTCTGTGTCGGCAAACTTAACAACCAGACTGGAAGAAGCTCCCTGAAACAAAAGAAAAATATTTAGTCAACAAAAAAATATAGATTCGGTGCAACATTATTCGTTATCATCCTCAAAGAACCACGTAATTAGCATCGTCTTACTTTAGCCGCTAACGTGCGGAAATTGAACATAACCGCTAACTAAAATATAATTACCGGGGTCCCTTAGACCGCACGTTAGCGGTTAAAAGTTAAAGATACTTTATTTCATTATTGGCCGTCAACAAATACTACTCAAAAAATCAAATAAAATTTCAAAAAATTAACATGAGAAGTATTTCAGCTTATGCAAATTTTTAATTGTAAATATAGCATTTTTATTATTTATAAAATTATTGGTTTCTTTTTTACTGTGAAAAAAAATATTATATCGTTCATAGCATTCTATAAGGATCGAGATTGTTTAAAGTATTTATTAGAATATCGAAATCTGCCCTCCTCGATTTTCCCAAATATCGCTACTAGCATCTTGAAAAGATTTAAGAACCTCAAAAGAAAACGCTCAGTTCTTTGAGACATTTGTTGTGCTGAGCATTTGAGTTTTTTTCTTGAATAAAACCTAATATTCTGTGGAAGGATGCTTTTGATGTAACCCGCATATTTTTCCTATTTAGGAACGTATTGCTACTTATGGTCTTTAATATTTTCTAAAGTTCCAGAACATGTCTTATAAAACTAAATATTAAAATGGTGGTATTTCAGGTCTTGTTTTCTTGGTTTTATATGACAAACATATTGCTTTTATCGCATAATCAGATTAAGGAACAAACAAGAATAGAGAAAAGAACAACAATCAAATCAAACCTAGGTTTAAGTAGTTATTCATGCAACTAGTTGGTAAATAGACTATATTGTGTAACGAACTGAGTTTTGCACAATTCTCTCCATTCGCGGTATCGATGGATATGACTTATAAAAAAACAGATGTTTCCCAATGTTTTTTAAATTAAAGTTAATTAACCAACTTTTAAGATTACAATTAGCACACACCCTAAACTTTTTTTTGACTAAAATAACCTGATTAGATTTGTTGAGTTTTATACATTTTTTTTTCAAAATATTTTTAAATAATCATTTGTCACTAAATTTTAAATATACAGGGTGTTCCTTAATGACATGCTAATATTTAAGGAGGTGATTCTTGGACCTATTCGAAGAAAAAAACAACTTCATATGAATATACGTCCTAAACATCTTAACTTTTCAGATAGAAGTGGTAAAATTTTCTAATTTTTTTCTCAAAATATCTTCTTCATCCTCTATGTTGTTTTCATTTCGCATGTTTCCAAGAACCTTTTTGTTTTTGCTGTGTCCGGTCTGGTTTCTGCTGTGTAGCTCGTTATGGGTCTGACGACAGCCTTATATATTCTTGACTTGACCTCGAGACCTATGTTGTTATTTTTCCATATGGTGTCGTTCAGACATCTAGCTACTCTCATTGCTTTTGTTTTATTATCTTACCTCTGTTTTGATATCGCCATAACCGGATAGCTCTATACCGAGATATTTAAATTTCATCCCTTGTTGTATTATTTTATTGTCCACGACAATCTGGCATTTGATGGGTATTTTTGATGTTGTCAGGCTCTTTGTTTCGGTTAGGCAGAAATTATCAAATTTAGAGATTTTGCTACAAGATTGAAGCAAAATATCTCTGACGGTATATTTGATACACGTCTTTCATGCATCAAAATGCTTATTTTGATATACAAAAAAAAACTGTTCTATTTTTTAAATTCCTCCCAGCCGATGAGGAAATGAGAAAAACAGTCTTACTATTAAATTTTTGCATTGCATTGCTGTTTAATATAGATGAAGCATTTATTAGTAAGGAATTTTCATACAACACATTGTTCCGACCTAAATTTACTCTCTAAGAGGATGAATTTCCTAAAATCGCTTTGTGCAGCTAATTCACTAATGTGGATTAAACGAACCTTTGTGCTAATATTTATGTATCTAAAGCTGTTGGTATGAACTGATCCCTAAAATATCTAAAAATATGATATACAACCTAACTGACACACCACTGACAATGACAAATAATTTATTTTTGGAGGTATTGTGTGTAAGTGTTTTTCAAGTATGTTTTAGTATTTAGTCGTTTTACACAAAGAAATAGTCATTAAACAATATAAAAATACTTCATAACAAATCTAGACACATACCTTTCATTTAAAAAAAGAATCATCAAGATTGGTTAAACGGTTTCGGCGGGGTGATGGTAACAAAAAACCCTTTGAGCTTTTATATATGTAGATGGATAAGGATATGTATGAAATACTTATGAAACATTGGAAACCGACGTTATGCCACGATCCACGATGGTTTTTGCAGTTCACAGATCACACAGCTTTTTAAGTTTTTAATGCCACTTTTTCCCAATTAATACGGGTTTGAGTAAATAAAATTTAAATTAAACTCACAAGATAGCAAACATTACTTTGAAAATGGACGCTTTAAACACTTTTCGATATGTTTTCATTGAGGACAGTTTAAATTCTGAAACATTTTATAATGATTTTTGAAGATTCTGACTTTGACAAGAGAAAATTATTTCTGTTCTTGTTTACGGTTGTTCTTAGCAACCGCTATAGCACCGCTAGATCCCGTACAACGTATGCACCCCAAAACAATTATAAGTTTTGGCGGCAAGCCGAGCATTCCAATCTAAACTTGTTTCCTTTGTCTATGCTGTGTAAAAAAGATTTACTCTTTTATAGGCTTATATTAATAATTTTATAAAATATCTTTTTATGGTCAATTTCCCATAATTTTAATATCTTGAACGATCTGCCAAACAATAAATAGATTTTCTGCAACATTTCTCTTTCTTTTTTATTAGGAAATAAACCTTCGATACAGTTAAATAAAACCTAAAACTGCCATAAAACTTTTATCGGTCCCATAACTCTACATCGGGAAAAAATGTGATCTGAAATGTCTCGAATACAGTTTCAAAGTAAATCCAGCACTGATCCTTCGCAGCAAATCAATTGGCGTGGCTTGAGGAAAGGACGACGGGGAAGAAATAAGAAGAAGGTGGGATGAACAATATCCCTTTCTGACAAGGGATATATTTACAGGAACGGATTTTGATATATGGCATGCAGCAATTTTCCTTCCGCTTGTATTTATTATCAAACATGGTGGCGGGGGCATAAATATAAATTGTTAGCTTTGCGCGTCGACACCTAAGCCTTTCGAGGATTCTTTTTAAAATTGCGGGATTTGCGAGAGTGTTGAAGATATGACGAAAGCAATAATTATGCAGAAACTATTTCGCACGTTGGCATGGGTAGATTGATTATCTTATTATATTGGTATGAGGAAAGCATTGCATTTATAACGTTGAATATGATTCACTTGTAGAAAATTATTTTTTTAGAAAATTATTTTTTCTTAGAAAATATTTTTTTCTTAGAAAATATTTTTTTTCTTAAAAAATAATTTTTTTTAGAAAATAATTTTTTTTTAGAAAATAATTTTTTAGAGAATAATTTTTTAGAAAATAATTTTTTAGAAAATTATTTTTTCTTAGAAAATCATTTTTCTTAGAAAATATTTTTTTCTTAGAAAATTATTTTTTCTTAGAAGGATTTAATTAATACAGGCAATGGAATAAACATATTGATTAGATAATTATTAGAATGAAATAACAATTTTGAAAAAAAATTACTGCAAAGAATTTTCGAAATGTATTCGAGATATACAGGGTGAGTCTTAAATAAGTGCAAATATTTTCAGGGCTGGTAGATCACGATAAAAGAAACATATTTTTTCTTTATCATTTTTCAAATCAGTTCAAAATAGCTGTTATTTTACTTCGAAAATTTCCAAAAAAATTTCCTGGATCTTTTCAGCGTCTTCTTTCTTGTAAATTTAATATACTACCTATGTTGCCATATTATCAAGAAATTATGTTTTTTAACTAAAAACTAAAAAAATTCCAAAAATTTTTCAAAAAATTTCGAATTTTCAAAAAAAAAAATTCGCGTTTGAAACAAAAATAGCATGTTCTATTCCGAGCAAAAATATATTTTTTGTGCCTCACCTGTAATGTCTGTAGAATTTTACATATAACATGACAGCGAACTTTATTTCCAAACCAACTCTCAAGCGAATTTCTTCGATGGTGTGGTATATGTTTATAAAAAACTCTGCCTCGACTGCTTAAAAATACAAGGTCCATTTAAAGTATTTCTTTTCCACTAACATTCTATTAAAAAAATCTCTCCAACATTTTGATTATCAACTCACTATGGACTAACTATCAACTGACTAACCCCGCTTTCTTCAGCATACTCTTTTTATATTCTTCTATTCCTCGTAGTCATCGCCGGTTATGCCGTCAAAATAGTTTATAATATAATTACACTAACCCGGCAACGACCATGAGGAAATCGAACTTCGGTGACCTGCGTCTTATTATCGACCCGAGATCGTTATATTTTAATTGTTTAATTCTTAACGTTATTTAATAACATATCTGGGTCGATGGCATCAAATTGGTTTACTAAAATTATATTTTACATAATTTTTCCCAATTTGATATAAACCTATTTGAGTCTTGACAATATCATAAAAATATCTTGATTGTTATAAGCAACAACTCAATTTCTGAGTTGACTGCTAATATTTTGTAACTCGTTCTTAATTAAAAGTTTGGACAGCTCGCTGTTGACGCACGCATATTCCCTAAGAAACGTCGAACAAAAAAAAACCGAGGGGAAATTGATTTGAGAGTCTGGCCCTGTCTTCTAAAGGCCACGCTCCGTCGCCCAAGCAAATCTATTAGAAATCGTTAAATCCCCGAGTTCGCAGGAACGCCATCCAATTCGACTAGATGCCGTTCCTTCGTTCGTTCGTTCTTTAGCGAAGGCTCGATAGACAACCTGTTATTGAATGCCCAGGGTTACCAATTCTCACGAGGACGCTCGCCTTCCTCCAAATACCGCACAATAAAATGTATTAAATCGTCGGACCTGTTACCGACACTTT